AGTAATATGTCGCGCGACAGAGAAGTATTATCCTGCCGACCAATTAATAAAGCGTGGCCTCGTTTTATTTAAATTGAGGCCACGAATTACATCTCGTGCGCACAAATTAATAAGACGTGGCCTCGTTTTATTTATTTTTCTCTCTATGAACCCTCCAGGGCTCCGTAGTTATTCATCTGTGCATGTGTTCGTACTTCCAGGTGACTTCCAGCTGCAGTTTGATGGTTCCCAGCTCCGTGATGTCGACCAGCATCAGCTGCGGCCTGGCCACAAAGAAGTCGGCGCTCAGACACGTCACCATGCCAACCAGCAGCCAACCCAGACCCTTCGCCTCCGTCACCTGAAAGAACAGACAAGTAACATGATTCATAATCACAGAATCAGAGGGGGAAGATGATTTTGATAAAAGTAGACATTTCATGGAAAAATCTGCTATTACAGGGTTAAGTCCTGCATACTACATTTTTTTTTTTTTTTCAAAGAAAAACGTTATTATCTGTAAAATGACTTTAAGTATAACAAAATGTATGTTGATTCTACAGAATATCACCTCCAAGAGGGTTTTGTAATATGTTTAATACTACTTCATGATAATAACATCATAACATCATTTTATTATTGCAGGACTGTTACAACTAGTAAAATCTTACTCTATTTAGAGGTTTTACTTAAGTAAAAGTATTAACATTATTTCAATGAAGAAATATTCTTTCACTGGTAAAATTGAAAAACAGTTTGGCAACAAATAGCATGTTTAAAGTACCAAAACAGAATAATATAAGTTATTGATGTTTGAATAAGTGAATCACTATTATAATATATACTTTTGATGTGTTATTTATATATCTATTGCCTTAAATAAATTAGTGGGTGGCTTGATGATTTCTTCCTGGGATCAAATTAAATATTATTGATATGATCATTTAATAAATGTTCCGATTATAATTTGTATTACTCATATAACTAAATATGAAAATAAACTAGTAATTTAAGTTAATAAATAAACGTAGTGGATAATAAAGTACAGTATTCCCCTCTAGGATGTAATGGAGTAGAAGTATAAAGTAGCATAAAATGAAAATACTAAAAGTACCCCAAAACGTCTTCTTAACAGTAAACGTACAGTACTTAAACAAATGTACTTAGTTACTGTACACCACTAACTATTCCTGTCCAAAAAATGGAAGAAGTACAATATTGGCTCTTGAAAGTGAACGCATTGTTAACATTTAGTAGCAGAAATGGAAATAATCAATTAAAGTACAAATATCGTGTGTGTGTGTGTGTGTGACCTTGATCTCAAAGTTATGTTGTATGTGAGGGAGGAAGACCATCTCCTCTTCGTCCCAGGCCTGAGTGTCATCGGACTCGATCCTCCCTCTGATCTTCCATCGCTGGCGGCCCAACCGCACCACCACCTGGTCATGTGACATCCAACTGTCAGTAACTGATTTTAAATCTTCAGTCAGTTACGGGTTGTGTGTTTAAAGAGAGTTACTTTCACCTTAGAGTTTTAAAACGTGTGTTGTGTTTTTCAGCAGAGGAAGTTATTACAATACCTTAGGTACAAGCTATTGACATTTGTTATTATAATATACTTTGTGTTATTATTAGCTAAAACTTTATAAGGTAGAGGTGTAAGGAATAACTCATGTAGAGCTCACATTTTTCATTAAAAATGTAACTGCAAACTCTGATATTTTGTTAGCACTTTAAATCACTCAGCTAAGTCACATGGTTATAGTGTGGACGTAATACCAACAGGTATACTGTATCTGAGTAATATTAGGCTGATATGTATGTAACAGATTAATAAAGATCCAGGAATAATGAGAAACACATTCATAGATCACATTCAGGCTAAATGATGTATCTATTTGTATATATTATTTAATGAATATAATAGTATAGTAATACCTTGTAAAAGAAAAATGCTTAGATGCAAAAAATATGAAATATGGTATTATCAATGGAGTAATAACCTGATGAGGTAATGTATGTTGTTGTTTAATGTAATATGCATTTTAGATTTTAGACCTGTATGGTAACAAATACAATCTTTCTAGAAAGGCATTCAACTAAAACCTATATAAACAAATATACAAACTAAATAATAGTCCATTTCCCACCAGCTAAAGTAGTAAAATATGGGTTTTTGAAGTGACCCTCACCCAAGTGGTGGGATATAAATTAGTTGATACAATTAATCAAGTACTATACTTGTACTACTTCATTCTTTTAAACTTTATGATATGGACATATTTTGAAGTTGAAGTAATTTAATTTGTTGAAATGCAAAGCCTCTAATCCCCCATATTATCATCTCCAAATGACTTCATAGCACTTTGACTTCCTCCTTATGCTACAGTACAGTACTAGCTCTGGTTCTAGCCCTATGTTTGATTAACTAAACTTGAATAAACATTTAGACTTCACTTTTCATGAAGCATCTACTCAATATGTTCCACATTGTTATTCTAACCACAAACACTAATATATCTGATATTTGTGTTTGAAAAGAGAGGCTCACCTCGTATTGGTCTCCAGGGCAGAGTCGAGCAAACCCGATCAGGCCTGCAAGGGAAAACACGTGTTACATACAATATTTGGAAGATAATGTGTGGACGTGTGTGTGTCTGTGTGTGTTTGTGTGTACCTTTCATTTTGATGTGTAGCTCTCCAAGGAGGATTTCCAACTCTCCCTCCATAACTGACATGTCCTGCAGAGAGAGGAACATTAAGTAAGAGGGAAAACTCTAAATTATTCTTTAGCAGGGCACCTTGAATAGTCTTACAATTCTGATACTTTTCATCCATCCTGTCCAATGTGAGGTTAATGTACAGAGCACTGGATACAACACTGGATATTCAGAAACACATTTTTTTGGCCTCTTTTACTGAAAGATAGTCAAACCCCTTACTGAACTTCCTCATAACCTGAATTGAATGTAGAACATGTGAACGTTGTTTTAATTAACCTTAGTGTTGGTGTATTTGCCACCTAGGTTTTACTGTGGCCTGACTCCATATGTTCTGCCTACAAACCCACAAACTGAAATAATAACAGGTCAGTTACTTGTGTGCTGCCCTCGATCAGAAAAACATGAGCTTTAACAAGCCCTTTAGATTTTGCTTTCATGTGACATGCAGAATATAATTTCCTCAATCTCATTATCGCCACTCATGGCTTGAGAATTGTCTTGCAATTGTTTCTAGCTAAGAAACAGTCACTTAAACAGAGTGTTTCAGACACAGGGTAAATACATGTATATGGAGAGAAAACACCATGAGAGAAATAATATGTTCATCCAACATTAAAGCATGTACACAAGTTAGTAGAAACCAAAATTACAGGTTTGAAGCTAAAAATGAGCATAATATGCCTCTTATGAAACATTTACACAAACATTGTCCTATGTTAATAACACTGAATAACTTATATGAGTCAATTAAATCGTTTTTCAGTAATACATGTGTGAAAAAGAACAGAGATCAGCAGATGAGGCATTGTGTGTGCTCTGATGTTTGAAGAGGTCACGGCTGTTCCTCACACACAGCAGGTCAAACTCATGCCTAAACTCAAAACTCAAAACAAAGTGGTCAATTTATGACTCTTAAAGAGGTTGTGAACCCTAAATATTGCAGGACCATTAATATTCTGTCTAAATACAGAGCTAAATTCAAACACATGTGGTAAATACATAAAACTCAGGGTTATTAAGAGGAGCTTCTGTCAGGGGTAGCATGTAAACACTGATTTTAAAAGAAGATAACGTAATAAGAGGGACACATTTAAAAATAAATGTATTGTATTTCCAATAAACGGTTCCTTTTATGGGCCGACAAGAGACAATACCATACAATACCATAGGGTTTATATTTTACATACACTTCACCACAAGTTACTCAGGTGGAGGTGGAAGTACTCAGATATAATAATTCAGATAAAATAGCAAGTGTAGAAATACTGTTACATGTATAGGTCATGTTTGGGTAAAAGATAAATAAGAAATGTATGAGCATCAAAACACTTTAAAAGTACTAAATACACAAGTACTCATCTTGAAAAATGTTCCAATAGTGTATGATAATAGTAAATAAATACTTTCTTATTTTAATATATTTCTTCTCTCCCTTATGTCTTTCTGTTTTGCCATATCCTTCTTTTGCTTTTATTTGTTATTAACTTTTTTTTAAAATAACTTATCTGTGTCCTCCTATGATTCTTTTTTAATCCAATTGCTGTTACCTTGGAGAATAAAGGGGTTCCCTCATGAACCTTAAAACCTTAAAATGTTCCAAAAAGGATTTGGGGGGATTTTTTTTCTCTGACCAAAATCTGTAATGGTGTGTGTGTGTGTGTGTGTGTGTGTGTGTGTGTGTGTGTGTGTGTGTGTGTGTGTGTGTGTGTGTGTGTGTGTGTGTGTGTGTGTGTGTGTGTGTGTGTT